ATTAATAGTAAGATTCACAGAACCTTTCACCTACCCTCACCCTCAAAGGCTTAGTAGGAAGCTTGGGAGCTGCACCTCTTCCCCTGCAAACAGGAACACAAACTCTTATCTCAAGAGGCTATTGCTTATGCTGGGTCCATCAAGCCTAGACATTTAAAGTGGGTGCTGCTGCACCAGCTTTGTCTAATCACTAAACAGAAATTCTGGGACTCCTAAATGCAGAACTTCGTTTACAGACTTTTGAAACATAACAGATTCCAGGGGAGTAGATTTTTCAAATATCAAAAGTCTTGCCTTTTATTGAGAAGTTATGCACCGTGCTAAAAATTAAAATAATGCTGTAGTTTCATTTACTGCAAGTTACTGTAACTTCAAAAGGAAGTTTATCATGCAATGCAATGAACTGGAGACCTATCTTTCTCTAAGCAGAAAGAAAAGTAATTTGTAAAAAGCATTTGCAAGTATAAAAATGATCCAATTTCCTTTGTCATGCTACAATTGACAATATAAATAACTCAAAACTTTGAAAAACTAAAAGCCAAGGAAGGGAATTTTCTTAAATCATGAAGTTAAAGTTATTTTATTCTATGTCATAAAAACATAGGTATGCATGTTCTCTTTCTGTCTATGCGGTCAGAACTGACAGCGGTTCTCACAGACTAATACTCTTCTAGTACAGAAGTTTATTTCAAGTTTGTGAAATTGGTAGCTCGAAACAAAGTTTTGCCTCCCAGACATGTTATTCAGGCTGATCTCGCAGTACACTTCAGATGTAAACGGTAATAACATACCCAGTACTACAATTCAGGAGAAAAAGTGTTTTACGATCTTTAAAGTTAATTTAAAATGAAATGGAAAAATATATGGAGGGTGTTTTAGTATTTGCCACGGAAAATGACTAAATAGTGGAAAGGAGGAAGGGACTGGTAAATGCAACTGGTACAGCTTGGGAAGGAATGGAAAGAGAGAGGGAAAAAAACCAGTATGTTTCTGGAGGCCAGAAAATGCCTGCAGAGATCAGGATGCAACACAATCATCAGAACTTGGAACAGAACCCAAAACTTGTGCTTCCCAATGCAAATTCTTTTGTCCAGCAAACTGCCATGAAACTACCACAGAGAGTGTGTTCTGGGAAATGCATGGTATAAGAGCATTATTTTAATAAAGCAGACTGAAAAAGAAGATACTTTAGAGAGGGGAAAAAAAAAGGAAAATGATGATGATTAAGCTTATAAAAGCATGGACAGAAAGTTAGAAAATGCTGGAACTGAAGGTACACATTCAAATGACATATGGTCCCTTTGTGAAAACGCTTTATGATCCAGAATTTATTTGAACAAACACACAGACATGGCCCTGCAGGAGCTCTGACTCCATGTAATAACTGTATGGACCCGGAAATTAATTCAGTTTATGTGTAGGCTTATACAATGTCTGTAAGATTTCTGGTTTATTTGTTCAAGAAATTAAAAGGCATAGAATAAAAGCAGTTTTGCAAACAGAGTTTTGAAAATAAAGGAAGACATAATTAAATCAACTGAATATCATTCAAGGTAACTGAATTCCCATATAAATCTAAGTAGTTTACAACACATTTTTCATCAATGGCAAATAACTGTGTTCATTTTCTAGATGCCAACCCTGTATGAAGCTGAAGGTACAGTTCTCAGTAGCTCTGAAAACCTTAGCTACACTTAAAACCAAGAGAGACTATATTTTAAACTTACGCTATAAAAGTAACAAGTGTTCTGAAAACTTACATGGTAAGCTTCTCCTGAAATATAGATTTTTGGTGATTTTGACACAAATTGCTCTGTGCATTAGACTCCTATCTATAAAACTAAAATTACGATATCATTTTTACAAGTGTGTTGTGAGGATGAATTAATTAGCGTCTGTGAAGCACTCAGTGAGACCATATAAAAAAACCCCTAACGATGAAATTAGTAACTCAAGGGAATGCATAGCTAAGCTGAAGTGTGGTAAATAAGATCTCAACCCCTGCACTGAATGATAAGGATAAAAATGGAATTCTGAATACTTTCCATTCAGTGAATAGCGCTCATTTTTCTCTTGAATGGAGCAGAGATCCTGTGGAACAAAACTGCTATACAATCATGAGAAAGCCATTTGTAATTCATTACTCTGTTCTATATTTGATTCTGATTAATGTTTTCTTTTCCTTTTCACATGATTTTTCTTTTATTCCCATTTATAGTCCTTTTTCATTTTTTTTCTAAACAGAACACAGTGTCAGCAAAATTGAGTATAAGGAACTTTCCAATGTAACATGTTAGAGCGCCTTCACAATTAGGCACAGAAAACTCAGTCATTCACTGCGATTGCAACCCAAAACTGATCTTTTCTTTTTCTTCATCCAGTATCTTCCCCGGTACTGTTTTCTTGGTCTTAAAAAAAGTATTTTCCTGCAGGAGTTAATAGTGGTTCATTCAGCCTTTAGGCCTTTCTTTGCTTCATAGTGGTTTTTATCAGTTCCAGTCTGAGAGCACAGTGCCCTTTTCCTTGCAAGAAAATGTGAAGCTGTAAAGGGGAGGAGGAAGCAATGTTATTTCCTCTCTGAAGTCATCACCTACAGAGCTGATACTGATGGCATTTTAATAGATGAGGAGCTCCCCATGCAATATTGTGATAGAAATTCGTTGTGTGCAGAATCAGTGAAGTTGGGAAAGTAAAAAAAAAAAAAAAAAAAGAAAAAATTGAAGGGCAATTTTGATTGCAGTATTTGTCTCATGTCCTTTGTCAGCAATGCCCACTTACTGCAATTTTGTTGGCTGTAAACTTATGGGTACACTGTGGATGGAGAACTACATCATGGTTTTTCCATGCAGTGATGAGTCCATGAGTCCAGTCTATGGTATTATTACAGCACAGGCCCCATCTCCTTGATGTTCTTTTCTAAAAGAGAGGGTGGTCCAGAGGGAAGTGTGGGCCCTATGACAGGCCAAAACACCACAGCCAACAACTCTCATCTTGGCCACTCACGACTTAAAGATTTAAATTGTACTCCGACCCTGTATGACAAGCTCCTTAGAAAGGATACCACTCATACCCTGAAAGACACCTGATTAATACTGCACACCATTCAATTTGCTGCTCACTGTAGGACATGCCATTTTTGAAGCAGGCTACGCTCTTACCATCCTCCACCAGCCTACACACCTGTCCTACATCTAGAGCTATCACAGAATGGGAAACAAAAGCAATGCCCAGCCCTGCTTGATAGGCTCCATCACCTCTGAGGAAAATACATCCTGTGTTCACATTCTCTTCAGCAGATCATGAACTTTCCTCTAAGTAGACCAGCAGAAATACATTACATTTCTGGATAGAAAGGAAAGCTATGCAGAGATTCACACTGCTAGCATGCAGGATGCAGTAGTCTTAATGCCAGTCAAAAGCCCCAGCAGTTTTGCACCGTATATACTACACAAGCTGTAAATCATAATGAGCTGCTATTTCCTGGATATCTCTGCACTAACTCAGAAATCAGACTGGGATGCAGCAGCAAAGCAAGCAAATGATATCTGTCTTCTGGATTACATACTAGGCTAAGCATCTATGATGCCACAGAATTAAAATTAAATGTTTTACACTGTTGTACTGCTCTTTTGCTGACTAAATCAGCAAAGACTGAATCAGTAAAGACTGAATAAAGTAAACTTACGTTATCATAGAAAACCCCCTCATGTTATTATATCTTTCTCAAATTAATATGCATACCTCAAAATAATTATACTCTTGTAACTTTGACTGGATTGGCACATGGTGTTCATTGCTATTCAATGTTAGAACAAAGAGCAAGACATTGAAATAATACAAAACATCTCAACTAACAAATTTAAAATAAATCTGCATATCACACTGAATTACAAACAAGAAACATGCCACAATGTGTACAGTGACACTCAAATGTATTTTAATGTCAGCTCTGGCTTCTTCTGCAGATAAGTCTCATGGCTACCAATTTCTCTATGCACTTCTGCCTTTTTTCCTCCTCAGAACATTCCTGGATTCCTCCTCTTGTAGGAGAAAAAAAATACAGACAAGTCCAGAGAAGTCAGCTGAAGACAGTATAAGAGATGATACTGGGAAAAGTAGCCTGTCTCTTGAGAAGAATGTGCAAGAACATCCCAGTGCCTGCAGTGCTACCTTCCTCTCTTCCTTTTTTTAGTATCACAGCTTCCCAAGCACAGTCCCTACCCTCCCACAGCCTACAAATATCAGAATGGTTGTAAAGTAGGGGACTAAGGAAGGGAGGCAGAAATCTCTACCCGCTGACTCCTAAACTTCACAAAAATCCTTTGTCCAAAAAATTTAACAGTACATTAAAATTTAAAAGTAGTAGCCAAATAATTATTAAACTATCACCTCTGCAGAAAATTTTAATGGTGTGACCCATTAGTTACGCAGAGCAGCTGGGATGTTCAGAAGCCACCTAACTGGTCTACTCTGTGAGCAGCAATTTATGAATATAAGGGATTTATTTTGTTTCTGGGATGGTACTTCTGGAAGCTTTATTTCAACTGAGTCATCAGGGAGGCATTTAACTATTTTTATGCAAGCCCAAGAAACATACCTTCCACTAATCATTTTCAAAGCACATTAATGAATGCTATTTAGTTAATTTTATTTGTATATGTATGTATTTGGGGATTACATCGGTACATTCCAAAAACTGCAATATGGCTATCAAAGGACTATAACTTTTGTCTAGTTGTTCATATAGGTACCAGTTGCACATGAGACTCCAGGCAAAACAGGATTTATTTTTTTTTTTTAAACTACAATCCCTTTATTTATATAGATGTTAATTAAACTACTTCCAGAAATCTGATTCTGCTTACCAAAAAAGAGATAGTAGAACACTGCATGAAAACACATTTTGATTTCTTGACAAATTAAAAAAGAAATCACCCTAAGGAACTGAGGCTTGTATTCTGTATTCTAACAGTTAAACCTTAAACTGCTTTGCTACTTACCAAACCCTCACTGGGCATAATGCTGGTGAGATGAACTACCTCAAGATGTGCTGACTGTGACACCAGAGAATCAGATGAGAGCGAAATGATGTGGTCACAAATCCCAGACAAGGTTTTACACTACAAAGAAAAACAAGTCAATGTAATTCCTCATATTAAACTGAAACTACTAGTGAAGAAGTTCTTATTCTGAGAACTACCTGAGAATAAACAGATAGAGCATTGTAAAAACTACAGGTACATGGAAGTCAAGAACAAGAGGTTAAAGAAACAGAAAATATCCATAAGTGTTAAGAAAATGTACATGCATGTACAGTTCCTCTGATCAACAGATTTTACTGTGTACTGATGACATCTGTGTAACTAAACTATTTTCTCCACCCCGACTATATGCACTTTTTAAAAAAAAAAAACAAAACGAATTCTGATGAACTTACTCTTATCTGTCATTATAACGTATCATTATAAATACAATGGAACTTGGGTGAAATATGTTAGAAATAAATGCCTTATGCACAACTTAATAACATATTTTAGCTACCAAATAATGAGAGCAACATAACCAACAGTGATAATTAGATGAATTTTGCATTATACAATTTAGAAAATCTTTCCTTTGTTAAAAATTACACTGGCAGAAAAGTGCCTTAACTTTATACATTTCCTGAAGTAAAATTCTTATGCATCGTTGAATACATCCTTTAATTGACATTCTAGATCACAACAACTATGCAATAATTTTATGTTATCCTGCCTTCCAGCTAAAGATCTCAAATTTTTAATGTCAATCCACATGAATACCTTTGAAGTAGGAACCCCATTGCATAGGTGTTAATGGTGATACTGATAGATTAAACCTATCCATCAAAGTAGGTCTATGGATCAGAAAGGAGCTGATCTGTACTCTCACAGAATCTTCATATGCAAAAATTTATTCCCAAATTTGCATCTGTTGCTTAAAGCGTTCCTTTGAAAAGCCTATGGATAAATATATTTGAACCTAATCTGAAAGCATTCATTTAGCTGAATTTCAGAATGGTCTTCTGGTCAAAGTTGTGTTGTATGTGTCTATTTTCCTTTGGGGACTATACTGTCAGTTTCCCTAATTATAGCAAATTCTAGTGAAATCCCGTAAGGGAAATTTTATTTCAGGCATTTGAGAAAGGCATGAGGATTTCTAATATCCCATTTGATACTATACATATAAGTTAAATAAAATTGTCACAATGAATAAATTAAGTAACTGAATTTATAGGTTATATTTCCATTCAGTGTATAGTTACTCATCTGGAAATCCAAGTACAGCTCTGGAGTACTGGATGTGGCATTTGTATTTTCTATCAGCTGCAAGAAGCAAACCATCACATTCAGGTATGCATGACTGCATCCAAAGGTCAGCATTAGCAGAAGTATTTCTAGCAGTTTCAGCTTTGGGCTAGAGGCCATAAACAAAACTTTGGGCTCTTGTCTTCTCCCACCAGACAGAGAAATTGGCTTGCTCAAAAAATGTATTGTACTGTTACTCTACATACGAACTGATGGTTGACCTTGACTACGAGTGTATACTTTCATCCAGCTTTTGAATTATTTTCATATCAAAATATTACTGTGATTTAGACCTGAGGCCCTCTTTGATGCCTTAACATTTAAGACCACATGTACAGATTAGATGCAGACTAAATCCCAGAGACAATACTTTCTGTGTAATATTTTAACTTTACAGTTGTCACATGAAATACTTTTTCAATAAATAAACCTTGGGACAAAATAAACAGCAAACAAGTTTTCAATCAAATTTAGTCTTTGTCCTGGTTCTGGGGGAATAGGATTAATTCTCCCCAGGCTATGGCAGGGACCCAGGTATTCCACACAGGCTGGGGCGTCCTGGTCCGGGGGGTGAGCAGTGGTACTGTAATCGTGTTTGTACATTCATCTATCAGTGTTATTGTTGTTGTTTTCCTGCTCCCTTTGCTCTTCTGTCAAACTGCCTTTGTCTCAATCTAGAAGTTTTGCCTGTTGTTTTCCTGCTCCCTTTGCTCTTCTGTTAAACTGCCCTTGTCTCAATCCAGAAGTTTTGCGTTTTTCTTCCGATTCTCCCCCCTGGCTCTGGCGGGGCAGGAAAGCAGCTGCTGGTTCTCTGCTGGCAACTGAGGCTAAACCATGACAGTCTTATGTATCTTTAACATTTCCCCATAATTCAGAAATCTAAATTAAAATCAATGTAGGATTTTAGCACCAGGAAAATGTTCCAGAAAATTATAGTAGAATAATTAAAAATACCAGTTTGCTGTAAAAGTAGTTCAGCAGATACAAGAGAAGCTTGACATCAGTTGTAAATAATGTGAAGGCTGAGATAGCATAAATGGGAGCAACTGAGCAGAATTTATGAATAATAGCACAGAGTTGGGAAGCAATGTTTGACATGGCACTACCGTTATGAGATGATACATTCATATATGCTGAAGTATTTTTGGCATTAAAAAAATATAAGGGACGAAAGTCTTGTGTACTAGTTCCAAAACCACAGAGAAGCAAAGTGGACACTCTCCAGATGGTGCAACACTACCTCATATAAGAAAATCTCAAACAAAATGGGTTCTTCAAGAAGTACCTGCTGCAGAGCTGCTCTACATACAATTTTACAGGCTGTCCAACACCTGTCATTTATGACATTTCTGTCAATGGGCCATGACAGAAACAGAATCTCTAGGACACCACTAAGTCTTTAACAAGTTATACAAACTTATACGTGACAAAGTATTTTTTGTATGACAGCCACTGCTGGGTCTGTATAATGTATGTAAATTAATAATCTGTATTTACTGCTGAGAGAAAGAACAACTAGAAGGTCATAACTTTTTATTATCATAGGTATACAATATTAGTCTAAAGAACTGATGCAGCCCTCATAACCATACTTTGCTAAACAGACATACAAAACCAAAGAAACCTGACTCTCAGACGTGCGGTTTAAGTGATCCTGAAGATCACTCCTCCATAATTTCTCTTTTCCCATAATACCTGAGCAGCAGAACAGACACAGTCTAGTCACATGGCTAGTGAGGGAATGGCCACTCTGCACCTGCAATCACATCAGCTGAGCACACGTCGGCCTAGTCTGGAGCTCTTCCAAACAAAGCTGCACCTCAGTGCATCTCTCAGTAACCAAAGAAGAAAGTCAATCATGGATCTTAATTTTATAAATCTATCTTTAATTCCAATTATATCTTTCTTAATACCTTTCAGAAATAAAACAAAACACCATGAGGTGTCTGATTAATAGATTCTATCTCTGACAAATATTTTATTTTTAGAAATAAAATGACCATAGAATACCAAAACAATTTACAAAGCTTATTCTTGAACTCAATATCCTTGAAGTAATTATTATTTTTTAAAATACCGTCAGAATGATGGTGATTTTTCTCAGAGTTATGACGACAAACAGGTTGATTCTCAGAGCCTGGATGCTCTGGATCAGGTAGTTTCAGGTGATTTTGCTCAGGCTAAGACAAGTTCTACTGCCTTGGGATCCAGGCTCTTACATGTTCATCACACTTTCACTACTGAGCCTATGGAATGCTTTAAAATGGAAACTTTTCTCTCATCTCTTCATTCTTTTCAGGCTTCCAACCAGAACAGATAGAAAAGTCAAAAGTAACATTCCTGCTAAAGATCTATTTCTAGAAGTCATATGCAGTTAGAGTTGTAGCTTAAAAGGTGTATATATGTATGTGTGTGTATATATATATGTGCACACTCCAAATCCCAGAAGATTTCAGATGCTTTTAGAAGTTCTTTTCGGAATCAGGTTTGCAACAATAAGCTTTTTTCTGAAAGTCACTGCATGCTTCCTGAATTTAACAGCACATCAATGTTTTATGACAAATTTTAATCCCTGCTAGAAGCAGAGCACGTGTAAAAGGCTTTAAGAAAAAAAAAAAAGTAAAAAAAAAAAGTCAGGCACTTGGTTAGAGCTTGTCGAAAGCTTATCTGAACTTGTAAATCCCTTGAGATTTCCCTTTCAGCATCAGTTTTAACTCTTTCCCAGTGACAGTACAGGTTTTCAGTAGAGGTGCCAGGACAATATAAAATATTTGAACTTAAAGGCCAATATCTAATCAATAACTTTGTATAAGATTCTTCCATTCCATTTTTTTTAGATTTTTTGAGTGCTGAACGCACAAAGTGCTCAGTCTGACAACCACTGCAGCTAGTAATGCACCAGTCTGATGGATCTGTTGCTGTAATTCCATGCCAGCAATCCTAGTAAGAGTATTACACTAGTAAGAGTATTGTGAAGCTTCTGAAACAACCTAAGAACAATAATTATATATTTGTAATTAACTGTAGGTATAACAAAGAGCATTAATCCAGGGAACTGCATGGGAAGGAAGACTGAAAGGGAGCATCTGGCCTTGTCTGCTAAAACAATCATAAGTTAAATAATAGCAGAAGAAAGCTGGTTCTTAAGCCTTAAATTTGAAAGACTTCCAATTTAGGAAAAAGTAAAAAGGCTTGGTAGGAATGGTTCTTAAGTGAATGACACCATATTCCATAAGCCTCCAGTCTTCAGAGAAACTGGAAACAGTATCTTGTGAAAAAATATTCTATTAATATTTTTGGGATAGAGTCTCTCAATTTCTTTACATAAATGCAAAAAAAAAAAAAAAAAAGGCATTTTGGAGTGTTAGACCTAGAGCACTGGGGCAGTCATTAAACTGGCTGGTAGGAGGCACAACTAACATGCACTAAGTCTGTTTGAGGGGGTCACAAAAGTTAAGCTGATACCTCACTCTTGCTTGAAAATAAATTTTACCTTTTTATCTATTTGACCTTATTTATGAAAACTTAAACTTTTAGCAACTGATATAATACATCAAATGTTGTGTCAAATAGTAAGGAACTCTATTTTCCTAAGGTAGCTTTTTTTTTTAAATAAGTGGATGGGGTAGGAATAGAGAATACCGAAGCAGAATACTTAGATTACTTACCACATGAAGAATTTTATTTTCTGTTTCATACACTGTACAATCCTGCAGTAAAATAAAACAAAAACAATTAATCCACAGTATTTTAGATTTCCAGTCAAGAAATAAAAGAAAGCTTTATGCTGATAACGGTCTCTTACACATGCACCTGTAAAGACAAATGACCTCTTGAGTTCTGTCATGTCCGAAAGGTTACTTTATAATCTTAACAATCTTTACTTCTCTTGTGGATGGTTAACCTCAGGAATCTATTCTTCCCTTTACAGTCATGAAACTCTCGCACTCAATACTAGCAGCAGTAAGGCAGAGGGGACAGACTCATGATAGTGAGAAAAAAGTAACTGAATATAATTAATCTAGCATGTCAGAAACTCAATGATGCGCAGAGTGAGAGATGCATTGCCTAGCCTTAAATCAGGCAGAATGTTTGTTAGCTCTTCTACAAGTTGTGTGGAACAGACAGTTGTGTCAGACCCACCACTAGCAAATTGTGTTATTATAAAGCATGGAGTAAACAGAGAATATTTTGACAAGTACAGTGATAAAGATATCAAAATATGGTGTATCCATTCAGTCAGTTTGGTGCAGTCCATCTTTGCGTTCAAGCCCTGATTGCCTACACCTTCCATAGGCACAGCAGTGGTCCCATCTCTTAGGAGAAGTCACTTAACTGCTCTAGCTTTGGAAGACCAAAGTCACACCAAAAAGGTACGGGAAAGGACACAGGCTTTCATGGCTGAGCATTGGTCCAGGGACACCCGGGGGGTTTCACTGCCTTAAGGCCTCCCACACAACTCGTCCTCACCTTTCCATTACACAACATTGCTATTCATCAATTTAAAGTAGGCCTGAAAAACAATATTCCTGATCAAACTCTTCATTTGCTTAACACTTGTAACTTCTAAAACAGCAATTTTCCTAATTTAGTTATCATTTTAAGAAGAATAAAGTTTATCACTACACAAGAGTCATTACTCCTTCAACCTGCATTTTGATTTAGTGATATTATAGTGGGTAGAATATTACTTTTCCTTCATATAAGAAAGTATACCAATTCTTTAGAGAGATCTGCTGCCTCTACTGCTTTTTAATGTTTTGAAGATTTCCTCTGTAAAGCATGATAGCATTTAACTCTTTCGCAGAGGAGAGAGCCCAAGCAGAGGCAGCTCTCCCCCACCCTTCTGACAGCACTCCCAAACACCACATGGGCTCTCAGGCTATACTTCACTAAAATATAAAATTAAAATACAGAAAAGTCAAGTTTGCCAGACAGAGTGAGATTAGAATAGAGTCCTCCCCAAAGCCCTTGGTCACCTCCGAGTCCGGCCGCACCCCCTAGGGCCCGGCTCCCTCTCCCCTCAGCCCCAGAACCTTCCGCCGCTGGCCGCGGGCCGGCAGCCACCACACGCCTGCGGCGTGGGCTCCGGCCTGCGACACCCACCCGTCAGCGGAGGGGTGCTGTTCTGTCACTAAGTTCGGGGAGAAAATATTTCTGAGGTATGGCGGCACCTCCCTGTGTCCAGGGAGCCCGGCACCCCGTCCCCCGGCTGGCGGGAGCCCCCGAGCCCTCTGAGGGCGGGAACAAACAGGTGCCACACGACATGCTGAGGGCAGGGCGGGGCGGGTCCTTCCTTGTCACAGGAATCCTGCTTATAGTGCCATACTGGCACCGATTATTTACATTTGCGTGAACTAATGCTTAATAACTGAAGACGTTATGTTGGGAAATCACTAAATACTTTTCCAAATGCCAGGTAACCGGCAGATCTCCGCTCTCGTCCCGCAGCTCGGCGGTGTCCCCCCGCCTGAGGCCCTGCCCAGCGCCGGGACCTTCTTCCTCAGCGCGCCCGCCGCAGGTAACCCGCGCGCCCTCCGCTCTAAGGACACCTTTCTGTGGGAGGATTGGCGATTTTGTAGAGAAATGGCTTTCTAAGTGAAACCAGTTTAAAAGAATATCGTTAGAGAATAAGCAAGTTAAAATCAGAAGGTTGTGAGTGCCAAGGAACACGGAGAAGAATTTGTATTAGCATTTCATGGTCAAGTATCCCTTTGATGTTTCTTCTGTATTCATACTGTTATTTTCTATGGCACAAAAAAAATTCAATTAGTCAGTTTGGTTGGCAATGCCCAAGGCAGTTTTTCCTACAAGTTGTGCACACTTCAAACAGCACATCCACCCTCTCCTTTAACCCTCCAAGTACCAAGAGAACAAAATGATCACAGCAGGGCTTACAGCTTGACTCCAGAGCTAATGCTCCTTTTTAAATTATTCCTTTAATTTCTGTGCTAGAAATACAATATGAGCTTCATTCTGAACAAACTTAATTACTTCAGGTCAAAAAATAGAGGCCTTATGTATAGTAAAACTGAAATTTTACTGTTTTGTAGAGCAGAATTAATGTTAGCTGTACTTATGTTGCCCATTCAAGATTACATTAGCATAAAAAATGTTAATGGCTTTGGGATTCCTTCCAAAATAGATGCATATTGACTTTTTTTTTTTTTAAATACATCAGACTAGTTTAACTGAGAGGTTAAAAGCACTTGCAATATTATACTAAAATATTAAGATATGTAGGTCACAATAGTCTTCTGATTTTTCTCTGATACATAGCAATGCACTAGGGATCTCATTAAAAAAAAAAAAAAAATCAAAAAACTTCCAGGACTAACATTTATAGCATTTTTATCTATTTTTCTTAGAAAATAAATAATCGTTACAGTAATATTCATCTAGAACCTCCATAAGCAGGATGACATGATAAAAATGTTTTTTTCTTGGAGTTTAAAAAAACTCTTAAAAAAATTAATAGCTGCATTCTATTTCCCCTCTGCAAAATGGCAAAATACAGGAGTTACAAAAATAGTCACAGCAGCAGTATTACGTACAAGCCAGCTTTTGCCCTGTCCAGAACGTCCTACCTTTCAAAGGTACAGTACACCTTCATAACTCTGACAAACAAAACCAGCATTCTGTTGAATATTCATAAAGAGAAAAGGGCAGTAGGACTTGCGCTCACCTAAACTGTAGTCACAATTTTAGGCTGTAATTCCAAAAGAGAGAAATGCAAGTACTACTGAAATGTGCGGATACCATAAAGAATGTTTTATGACAAGTCTTGAGGACAGTTAACTAACACATAAAAATACTAATACATGTAAAATATTTTGTTCATTAACTTAGTACAATAAACCAGCATGAGTTAAGTCAAGTACTGAAAAGAAACAGAGACTCTATAAAGAAGCAGCTCAGAAGAGAACTTAAAACCCCATGGTGTTTGCTTGTTGGATGCCATTTCCCAATATAACACTGCAGTAAAGATCTACTGCAATCTTTGAATGGTGGATATGACAAAATGATATTTAAAAGTATATCACTTTTATACAGAAAATCAAACAGTTCTGGAATTCACACATTAAAAAGAACAAGATTGCTCTGAAATTAGGCAAATATACACAGGTAAATACACTGAAGTAATAAAAATAAGTGACACTGAAGTAACTTATTTTACTTGGTTTAATTAAGGTAAAGACGATCATAATCTATATTTAGAAAACAGTGAACAGATGTTTAGTAACAAAATGTTCTTTAGCAAATGCAAGCAAAATAGGATTGAGGGGCTGAAAGCTGAAGTCTGCAAAGTTCAAACTGAAAATAACACCCACGTTTTCAATGGCAGTTGCTGAATCAGAGAATTGAGGTGGAAGGGACCTCTGGAGGTTATCTATTCCAACCACTTGCTCAGAGGAGGGCTAATGTAAAAGTCAGACTGGGTACAGGAAACTACTAAGAAACAACAATTTCTATCAATTGCAGTACAAATGAGATAGTTTCAAAAAACGTATTCATCCTAAATACAAAGTATCTGACTAAAATCTGTGATATGGCCTCTGAATTAATCTCAGTGAGGTTAATGTTAATAAAGGGGAGAGCAAGCAAAATTTTGTTTGGCTTTTGTTGGGAAAAAAATTAGCCTGAACTGTGCTGACATTCTTTGGGAAGACACAGACAAACTTTTTGTGTAGAGAATGTTCATGCAGTTTAGTGTATGTCTCAAATGTATGTAGCACTTAAATGTCTTTGACATAATCAGGAAAAAAAGTAATCACAAACCCAGCTTTTACTAGAAGTACTGAACTCTTTCTACTCAATGAAAAATTAACCAATGGCTGTGTTTTATTAACAAAATTCCAAACCAATTCTTCCCCAGTTATTCCAGTTCTCTTTCCCCCAGTTCCCCACAGTACCAGCTGTGGTACTAGAGCATGACCAAATCCAAATTCAGTTGAGTTAGTCTGGTGGATTCATTTTCAGGGCAAAAATAAAAGCTAGTCTACCTTGGAGCTAGAGCTATATTTGAAAATGAAGTCAACAGAGAGCCAAAAAATTTGCAATACTCTGATCTAACATGCTTTTTTGCATGTTATCATCAACACTTTGATGGGACGTTGCACCTCAAAATCAGGATGTTTCTGCAACTGTCTGCATAATGCTGTTCTCTTATAGTTTTCCTAATTATTTTATGGAAGGTGAGGTCATGAGTGATAAGAAAACTAAGTAGAATAAAGTACATTGCCAAGCATAAATGGACAGTTCAAAAACTTCTCTAAAACTAGAGAATAAAGAACAATGTTCTTATAACCAGTATGAGGAGATACTGTTTACGTATGAAAAAGTGACAGCTTATTCATCATCACAATTACATGGTACGTAAATAATAATAATCAACATTGGAGATCATCTAGTTTAAATTTTGAGTGAAGATCCATCTTCACGCTCACACAGAGAAACAGTATGACCTAAAAGCTAAAAAAAATCTGCTTCCTTATTAGATCTAAGAGGATGTCACTCAGATACATACAGTACATCCTAGAAAGAAGATTCATAAGCAGTGTCTATGAAACTAAGATTACATAGTCATGCCCCCTGTTTAGAAGGGAGTTCACCATGAGTGGCAGCTGTAAGTTATGCACACAAAGCATGTTAATTTTGCACAAAATAAATTTTCAGGGTGAAGACATTTCTCACTTAATGTGCCAAATGCATAGCCTTGACTGCTACTTTCACACTGACTAGATTAGATATCTAAAATTTAGCATTCATAAAACAAGGAGTACCTGAAAGGATCTGGGACCTCGGTTTCTATTAGTTATGCCTTTAAAATCATATTTTAGCCTACAGTTAATACTGCAATTCTGGTTTAGGTGAGACATTTCTGCTTTCACACATTAAAAGCAATTTTCCTCAGATTTAGTAACAGCAAAACTGTCTCCCTATGAATGATTTTGTTTTATTTGCTCTTTCTGGTGCTGTTTAATATACTGTAAAAAGATCTTAAGAGATTATTTCCAAACAACCCAGTTCTGACAATAAGATAAGGAAAAGACAGAACTTGATTTGTAACTGACTGGAGGAACTAACTAAACATTTTTCGCATTGGAATGTCTTGGACTTTATGCTAAAAGATTGATTGTTTTTAAGTTGTCAAAAGGAGGACAGCTTTGGTAGTGGAGTTGAAGAATTGAAAAAAGAGAACCAAACTATTGCTGGTAGAGGAGAACTGAATTTCATCTGTGAAAAGCAGTGAAATGAATGACAGAAATGGAGACAACAATTCAAAATTATACTATTTTCACCTAGACCACAGGGAAAAATCAAATTTGCACAAACAACGTGCAATATCAACTGAAGGGTGGAATCAGAATATGAACTTCTTATGGAGAAGTTCATTTTGCTTAGTCTGTAAATCAAAAATAGCCTAGTGCTATAAACACCTTGTAAGAGAAAGCTTAATAAAGAGACATAAATTATTAAATGCCTACATAGGAGTTTTTAAACCAAGAAAAGAGAAAAAGGTTGGGTTTTGTGGGGTTTTTTTGCACTGCAAAAATGCATAAAGGACAAAATTTGTAAAAGAAATAAAGCTGAATATTATAAATTAAGGATAATAGTTTAAAATACAAGGACTTATATTTTCAGCTTTAGTTCTTCTTTTTTTTTCCCCCCATGAACTAAAATGAAATTGAATAGGAAAGGAGGAAAAAAAACAGTTTGCAGAATGCTACTATTCCAAGAAGCCTTTTAAATTGAATGAGTTCTGTGATTGGTCTGCTGTGGGGTTACATGGAAAACAGCACAAGCGCAGGACGGGCAGGGGCAGGCAACGGAGCCCCGTGTACTGGAGGCAGGGCCAGTCTGAGGTGCTTACAGAAGTACAGCTTTAGCTAAGCCTTCTTCTTGCTTTCCCTCTCACAGTACTTTCATCTTTCTCTTTTGCTTCATTCCAAGACAGCCCTGCCTGTTCTCTAACCTCTCCATGTATTACAGTAAGACTCTCTTGTCTCATCAATATTTTTATCCACTCACAAGAGGAGAAGCTCACTGTAAATATTTGTAAAACTAATTTCCACTCAGGCTTTCTGTACCCCTCTCTCACCTCTTCTCTTAATTCAGGGGCAGACACCATCAGAGACTATTATTTGTATACTATGTAGCATACAGAAACAGTTAAATTAATACCATGTACCTGTGGACTGTGCCATATTGCAATTAAGTAATGAATGTCAGTGATGATAATACTACTACCCTTATTTGTTCCATATTTGGTTTGTTTAATGTTATGAATATTTCATGTTAATTACTAAACAACTTTCATGCAACTGGCTCTCCTTTAAGTGAAGAAGCCACAGTACAGCTTCTGGGTAAATCTGTATGTATTCTAACAACTTGTCCATGCAAGATTTTTGGTCCTTCATATTTTAATCTGTATAAACTGTTAGTAGTAGTTAAGATGTTGCCCACTGTGGCTTTGTTAACACCTGCATGGTGGTAGACAAAAAGCAAAGTGGATTATTTTTAACTTCACGCTATCCTTCAATCTATCCAGGCGTATTAGGAGTCCAAAAATCTTCCTGTGTGTCCCAGAGAAAAAGAATATGCAAAGAACAAAGATACTAGTAGTGTTTTAGTAACACTAAAACAATTTTTCTGGTGAAGTAAAAGTTTACCAATGTTTTTACTATTACAATTTCATTATTATTTGTTATTGCAATAGTATGAAGAGGACTCAAAGCGGAAGATAACCACTCTTACCTGTTGCACAATGGTTGTTAGTTCCAGGCACAGTTGAACAATGTTGTTTTTCAGCAGTGAGTATTCTGTCACGCTGACAAATGGAGACCTGTGACAAAGGAAGGATAGGCTCATACACCATTAAGGATTATAACTGCTGTTTGCAGCATAAGCAGTTGTTAAACAGATTTATGGTTAGTAAGTTTGTTTTCATAGAGGCAAATATAACCAGGTTGGCTAGCTGTTGCAAAGTTTAATCAAGAAAAAAGTCTCCTAAAATAATGAATGTAATCTTCAATAGCACAGTCTTACTGTTTTTTGGAGTCTTAAGGGGCATTTAGAATATATATGTAATATAGAGATCAGTTCTACACCACAGAAATGTGAATCACCTAATCGTGACAATCCTCAGCAGCAATTTACACAACTTCTGTAAAACATGCCTTTGAAACAAGAAAGGCAGGAAGGATGTAAACTGGATTTTGGCCAGAACATCAGAAGTTATCATTCTTGTAGAAAGTGGAAATAGAAGCTTCCAAATAATCATTAGTCCAGATTTCCTTTGCAAAGCTCATTAAAGACAACATTTCTAGTATGACGTCACTCTTTAGCAGCAGTTAGCACCTTAATTCACAGAGCAAAGTAACGTTTATGTAGTCACTAAGAGCTTCCGGCACACTCAGATTTTCTTGAGGCTTTCCAAATTCTAGCCAGCTCTGACCCCATTTGAATTTATAAGAACTGACAAGGTCATAGCCCAAGAGAATATGACTGCTGGCATTAGGTTAGGAAGATGTCACCAGGATTATACAAATCCTGTGAAGGAGGGTGATTCACTCTCACTGTGATTTCTAAGGTGCCATTTATACATTCAAGAGCATTCAGATTCAAGACAAAGCTATCCATTGCTATAATTCCAAAGAAAGAGAAACAAAACATAAATGCTCCAATGCTATTTTACGTTTTAGTTTCTTTCCACAGTCAAAATTTTAACTGCATTTATTCAGAGAGATACTTTTAATCAAATTCTCATTTTGTAAATGAAAAAAAAAAACACCAGTGGGTGATTGTTGAGGACTAAACACCACCACATCTGTGCTTAATAAGTTGATCCCACTCTTGATAAAAAATTTAGTAAGAAAATTTCATTTTCAGACTAAGCAAGTACTGTAATTTATTTTGAATATTCTGAGTTGATTTGCTCAACTCCAGCTTTTTTTGTATCTTTTTGATGGCTGAAGGACAGTTCAAACTCCACAATCTTTTCTTCCTTACCCTTCTGAAATTATCAGTGATGTTACTACCACTTGTGACAGTACGATCTCAACTTGGAACAGCACAAAAGTATTCATTTTGCAGAAAATGCTACCAGACTGAAAAGAATCTGAAAAAGTAACTAGGGAGTACTACATTTTTCCTCCAATATTTGAGAAATTTGCAGACCAAAATTTAGAGCTAGAATTCCAGAACTGCCATTTTAATACTAGAATAAAAGAGTACAAAGGAAAAAGAAAGAACAAATACAAAACAGCTCCAAATTCTCATGCATAAAGGAGATTAAGGAATAGTAAATTACCTGTCCAGCCAGGCTAGTAAGTTCTTGGCAGCACCAATCAGGTCAACTACAGAGGTAAGAAAATCATTTGGCAGGCGTCTGGAGGCCCTGCCATCATAATGGCCACTCCTCCTTCTACCCGTTATGAAGTTCTGAAGATTTTTGGCTGAGGCATTCAGCTTGTGAGACAGAGTTCTCAGGTTTTCGGTCTCCAAACCATAATTCTGAGGGGAAAGAAGATGATAGACAATTAAGTGAAATAGTGTGTTGGCAGCTGCATGAATAAAACTGAGAGGTGAAACATTCTGAATGGTATTGGATGAAAGGTTAGGATTGTTGTGCATGGTGTTTGACTAAGCAACAAGCTACTTCATTTAGAATATATAGGATACATCTATCCTGTCACCATGACAACTCTGCTGTCATCAGCTCTCACAGTGTTGGAGTCCCCAAATCCGTTGGTCCAACTAAGTCACTGAGGGGAATCCAAAAAGAATCCCCATATGCTGAGTCTCAAGGTCCTTCCCATTTTCAAAAGGTGAAGGTGAGTGAGTCCACTCTCCCCTACCTGCTGTGGCTCAGTGTTAACCAACCATTTGGTGTATTTGTTACCCCGAGAGCAGGTATTTAGCAGTCCCACTGCACTGGATCTCACTCACTCAGATCTGTGTTAGTCCCTCTACTAACTTAGCCTCAGCAGAACTTCCCTTTTGCTTACACTGGGAATAAGGTATAAAATCTGACATGGCCTTGGTGACAGGCTTTTACAGGAAGATTCCTTCCTGGCCCCTGCTTGGAGCAGCTCTCCCCTATGTACTATAATATGGGAACAGTCAAATCAGGTCAGAGCAAAGCTGTGGTACTCCCGTTTCCAATGACTGCATAGGGAAGAATCTCAGAAAAGCAGGAATGTGATAACAGCTGTTAGTGGTTTAGAGACTTCAGCCAGTGACAGTGTCTTCATATTTAATAATTCTTAATGGATTTTTTTCCATGGTTCCAATTCTGATGGAGAGGGGGGAGAGGACAGTTTGAATCTAAGTAAAGTTTTCTAGACAGAAGTCCCTTTTCCCTTTTTCCACATTCCTTCACCTGTGTCTCTGACCTTGTATCACCAAGCCAATGCCCCACTTAGACACAGGTAACAAGGACAAAGATATCTCAGCTCATACACATTAAATAATTCACTCAATTTCAGGTAGAAAGTCTTAAACAAACTGAACTGAACCCAGATTTCTTGCTGCCACAACAGGATGTAGCATATGAAAGAATTTAATGAGCATTTAAACAAAAGCGATTTTCAGAGTACGAACCGATTGCCCACTATTAATTTCAACTGTGCATATGTTATAGAGGATGACTGATCATGAATATCACATATTAATTTTTATGCCTAAATTTCTTCCTCAAAACAGAGAATAAAGCACCATGAAACCTACACAATGTATTGACTAATAACCAGCTGATAAAACAGGATTGTTTGGAAGTCAAACATCTGGTAAAGTTGTTTGGCCATTTAGAGCTGGTACTTAGGACCATGGTTCCTCTGCCAGCCATTCTCCCTCTCAACATTCACTCTGAAAACTAAATCAAGCCCCCTGCCTCCAGTTTGAAGGGCAACCTACAAGGAGTGGAAACACTTTGCTGTCTTAGCTCACTGAATTAACTTCATCATTACACACGTATCATGCCTAAAGCATCACAATGAGTCAATAATGTTTGTAAGCATCCAGTTTAAGATGGAATAGTGAAAAAAATTAAAGTTACATTAGTTTAGCTACAGATGAGAACAATTTTCTTCATCTTACTTCCAGCAATAATACTGTACAGTTAGCAAGAGCATCACTGAAGTAAGTCATTCTGTTTTGGAAAACTTTAAAGTTAAAAAGCAGGTTATATTTGATATCAGTACGCCATCTATTTAATATTTGTAGCTTATCTTTCTTTCATTAAAGCACTGAAGGAATTGCCTTCCCTGCCCTATTTTTCTCTCAACTTCTCCTCGTGCCAAGACGATGAGTAAGTGGATGTACTGGGATGCCCTCCCAGCTAGCAACCAGCTAGGCAGTGCTCCATTTCCCCTCAGAAAGAGTTTAATTTTGCACAGTCAAGAACACATTATAATGATGATAAACCAGATCTCCCTGTTTTTATTTTCAAGTCCAACTTTGCTTATCCCTGTGGAAAGAAGCAGAAAATATTTCTCCCAATAATTCATCATTGCATAAAAGCTCTAGAAACTGTCAGTTTACATTCAAAAAAAGCCAAGCAGGAAAGTAAACCGTATGACCAGTGAGTCTTTACAAGCCACTATAGTTTTACCAGAACGTAAATGAACGTCAATGAACTAGAGTGATCTTACCCAAGTCGTTGGAAAACACACAGGACTGAAGAGAAAATGTGTTTGAGGAAATCCACCTCATGAGCAAGTTCTTTATCTTAAAGTTTATTAACATGCCAATAGCAAACTCAATTAATGTCAATATAAAATTTAAAATATAGCAAAGCATAGATAAAATATAAAGATAATCAGAAGATGAAAGGAAATTTTTCAGTACAGTAAAAGTGCTGATGCAAGTTAGTAGTTTAGCTGAGACTTAGCAAGACACAATAAAGGGGAAAAGATAAAAATATTGCAAAAAATGACAGTGAATCAATATCTCTGTAGAAGAGCGAGATATTGTATTTCTCTAAATTTAAGCTTGCCTCAAATACAAGATCTTCATTTTTAAACGAAGCAACCATAACCAACTATAAATAGGGAAAGAAAGCGGTTTGAAATAATCCTTGAAAGTATCACCCCCGAGCGCCTCATCCTAATTCACTGCACCCCAGCCCACCTCATGTCAGCCACACACATGTCTCTCTCCACTGCAGCGCCTCACGCAGCCCATTGGCCAGGCTGAAGCTCAGATGCCACAAAGCCCCACAAGCCCCATGGTGGCAGCACATTAAAAAACTACTGAAGGAAGTTAATGGTTGGACTCAATGATGTTAAAGGTCCCTTCCAACCTAGATGATTCTATGGTTGTATGAAGCTACAGCCCCTTCCCAGCTTCCTTCGTCAGCAGCCAGGGTGTTGGGATTTAAAAGAGATTGTTCCAGAAGAGAAAAGTGCAAACAGGCGGGTACACACACAAATTTCACAGCATCGATTATGATTCAGTGAAATCACAGAGAGGAGTTTCAGTTCATGATAACCATGAGTAGGTGGGTAGCCCTGTTCTGAATACATGACACTGCAAGTAACCAGATCTCTTCTGTTTCCTGTAGGAGTCTCATCTGCATGATGCTAACTGAGCTCATCTCAAACCTGCCAGACTAAATCGTTATCACAGCTGTCATCCTGGAGTTCCATTTTCACAGCCATATATTCTGCTCTCACTGTGTTAAATACGTGCTGTTATTGTGAGACGCACCACAGAAATGATGCTCCTGAGCCTGTAAAATTCTACCTCCTGGCAGGTGATTTCTTTTTTATACAGTAAATCCTAGATATAATTTATCTTTTGTAAAGAAAGGGGAAAAAAAAAAAAAACAAAAGAAAAAACCTCTAAAAGGGACAAGAGGGTGCCATTAACATAGGCAGGACTGGTTTTCATACCAAAAGTGGGGAAAAAAAAAGCAAGCAAGGTTTTTTCCATTCCCTGTTTTGTTTCATGATGCTTAAGGTTGCCGCATAGTAATTTTTACCAAATTAATCTATTAGTGGAAACGGACATGCAGGTTTATAGAATGAATATTGACTATTAAAGCAACCCCAAATAATGTCTGTCTAGAACTATACAGCCATACTGTTTGTCAAGTTATCATGAAATCTGGATCACGAAACTGCTTAGTGAGAACAGAAAGCAGACTAAAGTCGACTCTTCTCCATTTCAGCACAATGGGCCTGACAGGTGTATTGCAGGAAGGGGAACTGCTGGAAGAAAGGGCCAAAGTTACAGCAAATTTTCAATACCGGAAGATGTGACTGGTAAATCTATTAAATCTTTACTTAAGCTTCTTCACATATAAACAGTGTTCAAACAGTTAGAAATTCTGTTTATCCACTGAATGTAATATATGATAGCTTTATTACCATCACACAAAAGAGTTACATAGAGATTATCTGATTTATACAGTGACAGACTGATTCGGTACTGTATTCTAGGCTGCAGCTCAGTAACTCCTGGACAGGAGTTGGAAGGAAGGATTTGAAGAGGTAGAAATTAAACGCAAATGTGAGATGAGAGCCATTCAAGCTTATTATAGAAGAATATCATTAGCAATAATGCCAAGATGAAGCCGTGCTTAAAGTGACACTTGGTAGTGAGATGTAGAACGGGCTTGCCTGCTTGCTGTCTGCAAAACACACTTTTCAATTTTAGCAATTTCATTCCCTAATTCTCTGATTCTCAAACTATTGGTGAGGATTCCGGCCACCCCCACAGTTTGCCTCTCCTGTTCAGTTTAAGCTGCCTGTTTCTGTGTTCCTAGTGATTAGGGTTATTGTAGGGCAGGAAAAGGCAAGAGACAGGACAGATCGCCTCCAGGGCTTTTGCAGTTGATCTTTCTTTTCTTAAGTACAGCAAAACAGGTGGCTGTTGTCTGAAGCACTAGAAAACAGGAAACAGGAGAGAATACCATTTTTTTTTTTTTACAATCTGAAATACACTGTTCTTGCTAGTGCAGAGTGGAAATACAATGTAAGACATAAACTGTTGAATATTCCATATAGTTAAAAATGAATGCTGGAAATTGAAAAATCAGAAATCTGCATTCAAGCAGGTATTTCTTAGTTTTTTATGTCATAAATCCAAAATGCAGAAATAGCAAAGTACAATGTGACAATGAACCCTCCCGCTTTGTGTCTATCACAATTCCAGCTAAAAGGTCTGCTTGTTTTGTACATACATTTTGGTATGAAGCTCCATTTTTAAAAGACAGTGGGCAAATTCAATGTATTTTTTATGTCTGACAATAACACCTGTGTTTTTTACATATTCAAAGAAATTTAATGAAAAAAATCTTCAGCTATGGCTTAGGGTGTTTTCATATCTTATTACATGTATGTAATAGCATCACAAACTAGTATTTTATGCTATCTGGGGAAATTTTAGCTAAGATAACATAGGCCAAATTATTGCAGCAAACATTAAGACAAAAAATAACAAATACAATGGAAAAAAATTATAAGTTCTAGTCAATTTTTTGTAAACACACCTGAACATCAAAAGAAGAG